AGTATTGTCTGAACAAACGTTCGAGATAATCGCGTTTAAAGTTGGTCCTTTTTTCATTCAACAAGTTGAAACTTAAAGATGCATAAAATATGCAAGATTTAGGTATCAGAGAAAGGAGAATAGATTCTAATCTTCATAAATGTAGAAATCTTAAAAAAAAAATAAAAAAATAGGTGATTAGTTTTGCAGAATTCATCAAATAAGAAATATGGCTATTTTTTAAAATGAAAAAAAAAACCGACCAATTAGCAAATTCGCCACTTCGTGAAAACGCTAAAGTGAGAACGCGCAGATTTTGCCCTACTACGGTCTGAGTCAATGCATTTTTTGTACAGGACGCGCATATTTTGCCCCACTGCGCGTGCGCCTTAAAATTCGCAACTTTGTGAAAACGTTTCATTGTACGCGCCTGAAAATCGCCCCTTCGTAATAATGCTGCATTGTATCCCAATGTATTTATTTACTGAAAGTTTGTTAATACCAAAGAGTGCGTCAATTGTGGCAAATTTGCCCATTCGTTAATTGGGATTGTAATTAATTTTTTGAAAGTATAGCCTCACCAGGTTGTAGATATTGATATTTATTCATTTTCACCAAAACAAAATTCGAAAAACAAACGATTTTCATGAAATTCGCCCCTTCGTGAAATCAGTGACGATATTTAATGCTGCAAATCCTAAAAATATGAAATGCTGCTCGTGTTCCATCCATACTGAAATTTTTTTGGTACCCTTCTTAACATTGGTAAAAACAAATAATATATGTAATAGGATGCATACTCGTATATATATTTTGTCATACACATCCAATAAAATATAAGGCAGATTGCGATGGAAATTAATTGACTGGCATGCGAAAACTCTCCCATAAGTTGTACTTTTACATAATATTATAGTTCATTTGTAACAATTACTCCTGGGTTAATTAGTAAAGAACAAAATCACCTTCGATGCGTCCTTCTTGTGAAATTGCGAATTTAACCTATTGCGGTAGGATCGCGTCAACGCAGCTGGTGAAATGTTGTCCAATTACATGATATTATATACGAATGGACGCGGAACGCGTCCATTCGTATATAATATCATGTAACGAGTACAAATTCCCCATAAGGTTGTCAAAGGGGCGTGGCTAACTCGCAGACGGGGATAGGTTAATAGTGCAAGTTTCTTTGGTCAAATAGATTTCTTGGTAATATAAAATACAAAGAAGGAAACTTCCTAACTGAAACTGAAGACATCAGTATTATTCCCTTTAGTATTGCTTACCAAACTCTCATGGCCCACAGGTTGAACTGTGGTTCAATATAAAATTCATTAAAAATAAACGTTTAAAAGTTATCACATAATGCACATGACGAAAAAAAAAATGTATAAGTTTATTAGATATAAAAATAACATATTGTTTAAGAACAACAAAAAATATACAGCGGCTATTTAAAGCAAGCCCTCCCCCCCTAAAAAAACAACAACAATAGATTAAATTTTAAGTCTGTGAGCTTAAAAAGGTTAGCAGATTATGAATGTCATGTACGCAATAAGATAAGTCTGTTACACAACCCTGTCTATCTCTGTAACTAACACCAAAAGATCAAGTATGTATGTACAGTAATTTAGTAAGATACGGTTTGGTACCTTTGCCATACCTAGTTTCAACTCTGACTTTAGGCTCACTAAAATGTCGTTTGTGCCGATGTTCCATGGCATGAACATAACTAACGAACATAAAAATCCAGGTGGAGGGAATTCACAGAAGCCCTGTACCGCAGTGTGCATACCTATGTTCCCGACTCACTAAACCCATAGGTTTTGGGGAACATAGGTTTTGGGAAACATAGGTATTGGGGAGCATCAGGTAAACCAGTCTGATCAGTCCCCTGACACCAATTTGAATCACCCCAGCATGCAATCGACAACCATTGGTCGCTTTGAGTTGACAACATCCAAGCAGAGCTGCTGAAAGCTTCAGGTTCAGCAGATTTCAACACGAACTTGACTCTATCTGACAGTCAGGAGAAGCGCCGTAAGATCTTCAGTTCTTATCACAATATGCTTTAAATTTCACGTGGTATGAAAGTTTTCTTGTAACCAATTCTGAATAGACTTGAAAACAAGCTAAATATGAACATCTCAGAAGTTGAAATTTTGGAAATTTGACTTTGGGCCCCTGACCCCATCTGACCCCCATCCGACCAAGGGCAACTTAAGATTGGCCTTTTCTAAACAAGCCCCGACGGACAATGACCTGGTACCAGGCCATTGTCCGTCTGGGGTAAACTCCACCTAGCTCCCGGTCTACTAGGATGACAGCTGGAGGAGTGGAGGTACTGTGTCTTTGGGTTGAGAACAGAGATCGGTGGGTTATATTGAGTTGTGTTCCTTGAGGATGGTGGCCTCCAGGAAATGGGCCCGATTAACTGGGTACTGTGAGGTGAACTTGATAGTTCTGTGGAAGGATGTGGTTAGCGAAAGTCACCACACTGTCCTCATCACTGGTTCAAATGAAAATACATCATCTATATATCGCCACCAGATCCAGGGATGAGGAGGACCTGAGCCAAGCATGTGTTCTTCGAGGTCACCCATGAAGAGGCATGCAAATGAGGGGTCGTGCGAGTACCATTGCTGCCACGTGTACCCGCAAGTTGTGTTTACCCGGGAAGGAATTTTTTTTTTCGTTAATACAAGTCTCTGGGGGACTATTATCACTGATGGGTGGGGTCGTGTGTCCTGCCTTGCCCAGGGCAGAGGAGCAGGCACGAATACCTTCCTCGTGTGGGATATTGGTGTACAGGGATGAGACGTCAATTGTCCCAATGATGGCCGTGCTGGTCCTTCTTTCTAGCTTGTGCAGGAGGCAAGGGGTTTGAGAAAACAATGGAGCAGGGAGAATCGTTCCGTGGGTGAACCATTTAAACTCTGGTGGACCTATCGTCTCGGGCAGCCTTGTGAATCTTTGGGAGAAGGTAAAATCTGGCAGTCCAATACAGTAAGTGGGGAAAGACATCTGTGAGCTTTCTTTGAAAGCTTGTCACGTGATCGCATATCATCAAGCACCTGCTGTATCCGTTGACAGAATGAACTTGAGAGATCAGAATCAATGCAGATGTAGTTAGTGCGGTTATCCAACTGGCGGAGAGCCTCGTCGATATACTTCTGAAGATCCACGATGGCCACAGCTGAGCCGTTGTCTGCTGGCTTGATGATGATGTCAGTTCAAGAGCACAAGGTATTGAGTGTCAAACGCTCCTCTCTGGGAGATAATCTTGAGTCTCCTGGGGAAAGTTATTAGGGTAAGGGTTTGGGAACTGACAACTTGAATATAGTTTTCAAGAGCTGGTACACGATTCCTGGGGGGTACCCACCCGCTTTTAACACAGAAGGGTTCGCATGGATCACAATCGAGAAAAAAACTCAGGGAGACGGATCTTACGGTAGTAATCCATGACATCTTGACTGAGCTGATCCTGATTCACAGGACAGGGAAAACATTTAGACCCTAGGAGAGAAGTTTATGTTCAGCGTCAAATATGGAATGCAACTTTATTCATTCATATTCATTTGCAAGATTCAACCGAATTAGCTCTCTAAGTGGTTAAAACCATATAGAGCTTCATATAATGAACTTTATATTTAATGCTGTGTAACGTGGCACTTGATGACGTCATCATGCCGCCATTTCAATGTTCGTCTATATATACATCCCTGTCCATGTATAATGTATATTTTACATTAAAAAGGGCATTTTTAATGTGATGTCACATGACACGTGACGACGTCATCATGACGTCACTTGGGATTTTCATAATAATAACAATATCTTTCTTCCCACCAAGTTTCGTGATGAACACTTTCCTTATATTTATATGGTTTTGGAAATCGGATATTTTGATGATGATGATTTGACGTTTTTGGGGGGAGTATCTATTTATGACCTACCAAACCCATTTGAAGAGATGGCTTATAGGTTAAAAAAAAATCAAAAACGTATTATAAAAGATTCAACTAAATGTTTACCTATAACATTTTCCTGCTCAATGGCAGCTCCTGAACAAAGTTCTTTTGGGGGGGGGGGGAGGGATGTATTGGTCACCCCAAAAGTGGGTCCAAACAATGAGGGCGTGGGGTTCGGAACCCGCCTGAGGGCCCCGAAAAAAAAAAATGATTTCTAGATGCTCTGTGGTGCGATCTGAGGCAATTTCTGACCACTTTAACAATTTTTAAGGAAAAATGGTGGTTACTGCAACGGCACTTGTCCCTGTCTACATACATACCAAGTTTCAACCCAATCGGAGTCGTAGTTATTCAAATATAGGAATTTACAATATGCACATTTAAAATGACGTCACATGACACATAATGACGTCATCATGACGTAACTTTTTAAAATACGACTTCACTATTCGGTTTTCACCTGTGTCAAATTTCAAATTATTACTTCGTTTTATGACAAAATTATGAATAAAACATGTACAAAGTCTGTGGGATTTGGAATGGAAACAAAAAAAGCAGAAACAAAATCAAAACAAAAACAAACGCGTTTCTGCAACTATGCCATAAAGCTAAAAATTTGAACAAAACAAAGGCTTTTCCAGGTTGTGTCTGGAAAAAAATTCGAGACGAAAACAAAGGCTGTTTCGGCAAGTGCCGTAACAGTCAATTATTGAATAATAATAACACATTCTTATATAGCGCATTTCAGGACCGCCGGAGCTCGCAATGCGCTTGAATGATAATCTGTAATCAATGGTGGGGGCATAATGAGCTATTTCAAAAAATGAAATGAACATTTACAGTAGTTATAATAACCAGCGTACAACTTTGTCGTCAAGGGGGATTAACTTTCAAATATTCAATTTACTAATTAGATTCCAAATATTTCCTTGGTAAAACAAATTATTAAAAAGAAGCCGCATCATAAAATCTCTCCATTATCCGCAGACCTTCAAGTTTATTTTCAAAAACATTTAAAAAGTTTAATCTGGATACTGGTTTTTTTTTCAGTATGGTGACCTTGACCTTTGACCCAAACCAATGCTTACCATGATCGAAGGGTGTACGTTGATGATGAACAACAAGCACATGCCGACGTCAAAATTCTGTAAGTTTCTTATTAAATTGATTTATCATTTTTTTCTTTTCTACGTCAGGTTCTTCGTGTCACAATTAATGATTACAAAATACGTTATAGGTTATTATATAATTAATTAACAACAGAAGAAACAACACTTGTAAATTTAATGGGAGTAAGACGTCGATGGTTTCAAAAGAAACCAATTTGAAATGTTCCCGAGCGTGAATGGGTATTTTGTTATTTTTCGAGATCTGTAAAATCTAAGATTATTTTAAAACATTATGTTTATAACCGAAGTGGTTTTAAACAACACGGATAAAAACTGGCCAGAAACCACAATTTAATGAACAACTGCCCAGTAATGGACTCGAATCTTCTAAAAAAAATCTTCTTTTAAGTTTTGCTGGTGGAATATCTCTTTCAGATACCTTTACTGGCTGTAGAACAATGGAAAGAGACCTAAAAAGATAAGATGCATACACTGGCACCCCCCCCCCCCCCCCCCCCCCCCCCAGATGAGAGTCTATGCATGCAGGAACTTATTAATACATTTTTGGTGTAAACTTCCGAAGCACTCAAAGTAATGATAGTAAATCTTGTATCAAATACCCTGTGTAATTATTCCGCGGGAAACGGTATCGTTTGGAAAAAAGTAATCATCGCGTCATGAATCATACCTTTTTTGGGGGATCTGACACTGTCATCTATAGGTAAATAACGATTGCACAAGACATCGCACACATTATTTCGAAGATCTCAATGACCTTGACTGGATTTTAACAAAATTGGCAATAATATTTGTGAGCTGGCAGAACGTTGATTTAAACGACAAGCACACGCTGGGATCGCAATTCTGTAAGTTTTTAAATATTGATTTTTGTCGTTATTTTGTTTCCGGCATCGTATCACAGTTGATGATTACACAAAACTCAATGGGTGATTACAATTAATTAACAACAGAAGAAACGAAACTTCGTGCGTTTACTGGGTAAAAGACATCGATGTTTCTCCAACGAAACAAAATATGTGTTGACAATGTCACATGTCGATTTCGCGTATCGGTTCCTCACTGACCGTCACAAAATTATGGCGTGCAAATTGTATGTTTGTAATAAATATGACCTCATTTTCCAAACGTGCCAAGTTAACATTTCATCCAGACATAGATAAATATATCTCTATTTTGGGACTAACTGTTGAGTTTGCACGCCATACGAAATTCACAGAAGCGATACGCGTACGTGATGCTACCGCAGAATCTTTCCTCGTTTTTTCTCCCCGCGCCCTGAAAATATCTAAGTTTTGTTTAATATAATACGCCTTCGTTCGTCGAAATGCAAAGTTCAAAACTCCGAAATATTATTGGGATTATTCAGATACTTGTTCCTTAAACCTTTTGTGCGGAATTGAAACCCAGCTCGCTCGGTATTAAAAAAAAGTGTAATGTACACTCACAACAAATTGACAAAATGAAGAAATTAATTTATATTTAATATTGTGAATCAAATTTATTTCAATTTTGTCTCATTCCCTAGAATAAAAATCAAAAATGTTTTTTTTTTCGAAAATGGACTTCTTCGCGCATGACAAAGGACACGTGAAACATTGCAATTTGCTCAAGATATTTCGTCAGCTGAAGTTTACTGACACTTGTGCAACACCGGTAAAAGAATTGGGCATTTTCGATCCCAGAGTGGCTATTGCTCGTTGATGGTGTAATGAATTCAAAGAAAAAATATCGACATTTGTTTCCAATATTATTGAAATATTATGTCATAAAAAAAGATGTGTGTCGCACGAACGTAGCATACATGGAAAATTACGAAGGTCAGTGAGTTTGTAGGGCTGCTGTAGGCACTACGTGCAGGATGTGTAATACATGACTCCTTGCTGAATGCGTGTGCCAACTCGACTGGCAAGATGTTGCGTCACCGCGACCCTTAACCCCTGTGTTTTGTTATTGGACAAAAGCGAGTGAGTCAGTGACGTCAGTGAGTCACATCACGCAAACCCATTTGGGCATGTAAGTTTGATTGGTCCGTTCACCGAGACGAGTGTTATACGCTCCGTATTTCAGGCGGTCCAAATGTTTCAAAATGCGATTGTGTTAAACTAAAACTATTATAACTGTGCCGTTAGACGGACTTCAGCCTGTATCACGTGAAGACATTATCATGATTTGCACACGATCATGGGATGATGTGGCCACGTGATGTGCACTTACGGTCAGCAAACCACTGCATGACTTCATTGCATAAAATATGGATAACGTTTTTTGGAAGTTTGCTATATTATTTGGAAAAGAAATAAAAATATGTTTGGGTGGCGGGAACTGATAGGAAAGTGATCGACCCGCATTTCTTTCTTTTTTTTGGGGGGGGGAGGCAGAGTGTTTGTTTTTTCTTTTTAGACTGTTGGCCTGAAAGAGGTGTTCGTTAAGAATATTTTCATCTATATAATCGGACTTTTTCTCCTTCAGTGAGCACTCCTCTCGCTCCCTCTTTTTTCCTTCAGTAGACCATTGTACTTTTTTCGGTTTTCCGTCTAACTCATTTGAATTGGATGGGCAGTCTCTCGTCAGTCGGATACGGTTTCCTCTCATGTAGTTTTCGTCCCATGTTTAAAAATGTGCCTATCTTGGTGTCGGAATTATGACGTATTATGAGTTCATCGATTGGAGCTCCCATTGGGCGTGTTTTTTGTCACCTTGAGGAAAAAAATCGTTAGCTACTGTGGATATAATTTTTGTAATTTTTGTAACTTGTTAGGCGGAGTGCTTAGTGGAAATTATGAGTCTATGTTGACACACCAAATTATAGAAACATTCTTTCCCACTCCTGCATTCCTAAACACAGGGTGACACGCGTACGTGTCACTACCCCCCCCCCCCTCCCCACACCCCTTGAATCATTGTGATGACAGTGCGTCACCCCATTCAGGCTATTAATATCCATTTGGATGACCTTTCTGCTCATTGAACTGTTAAGTACCGGAGCTCTGTGTCGATCATTTGAAATGGGGAAAATACTGACACTTGATCTTCATCCGTTGGAAAATCCAAAGGGGCTGGGGTACCGGGTGGCCACAGTACAGTTCCTTGCTCTGTGATTGTAGAGACACGTAATTGAGTAAGTTTAGGTTCTTTCTATATAGTTTAAAGGTTAAAAAGTGACATTTCCCCCTGTCCTTTTAATGCCTGGGTAAATTGGATTTTACCTCTTTAGTTTCACTAAGACTGATTTAACCTTGTTTTGAAATATGTTGGGTAGTTATACGTAATCCTCTTTAAGGCGTACGACTGCACTAAGGAATGCATCAATAGTCATAGATGTCGGATGTAAGACGGACAGGAAAAAAAGGAACAAACATTTATGGAATGACCTGTAATATGCTTATGATCACCTTCTTCCGTTCAAGCACAAAAACCCGGGCCGGGAGGTAGGATTAGATGAAACGTCACCCGGCTGGGTTAAAGGGAAGATACAAAATGTGCAAACATCACAAAACGAAATGATGAGATTATCACAAAATACTATAATGGATTACTAGGGAATGACAGTCTAAAGCATCCTGCAAAATTGTTGCTCCTGGTGTGCTGACATTTTCAAGAAAAAAATAGTATTTTTCCAACGCTGGTCGGCCGACCAGCGTTGGAGAAAATTGGCTTTTTTCAAGAACTGCCTGCAAGCTATTTGATGCAAAAACTGCATCAAATAGCCAGACAGATTCTCTGACCTTTCAATTCCCACAAGTCTATAAATTGCTCTGTTTCATCTTAGGTGTGGTTAGGGAACCAGACTACAAGAACATGAATGGTTTTCTTGGGGTTTTTTTTCAGCATCTACAAGCCCAAAACGTGAAACAAGTCATTTAAACAATATTTGCCATAACATCCTAATCCTCCAAATCCATTTATTTTTGAAAATTGAAGCAAAAGCAAATGTTGTACATTCCCTTTAATCAGGCTTCATTGACGTCGACAATGAAGAATAGGTTTTTTTTTTGTTTTTAGCTGTTTCGGAGTACATGTTCCGAAACAGCTATTGTTTTCGTTGACGTTTTGTTTCCTCCCTTCCCCCTTTTATTTTTTTTAGCTGTTTCGGAGTACATTCTCCGAAACAGCTCTTGTTTTCGTTAAAGTTTGTTCCCCTCTTTTTCCCTTTTTTTTCTTTTTCAGACTCCTCTCCATAGGTTTTATACATGGTTTCTTCCACCAATACACTTTGTCACTTTCGTGTATCCGATCTAACTCAGACTTGGAACACATCATTATAGGCAACCACCCTAAGATGTATGGCGAAGATTTTCAAGTTACGTCACATTAAAGGTGCATTTTGTTCTCAATACGTTTTGTACTTCAAACCATACACTTGGGCACTTTGGTATGTGTGATTGACTTTAGACCTGGCAGACAGTTAGACCTCCGGCTGAAGATAGTCCCCGAAGGTTCGTTGCCATGACGTCACCAGGTCAAGTTACGTCACATTAACGGTGCATTTTTCAAAGTGCTTTATCTTCTGAAATACAAGTCTGATTGGGTTGAATCTTTGTTGAATCTTTGCATAGACAGGGACGTGTTATAAATACAACTTTGTCGAAAATAGACGAGGTGTCAAATAACGACACATTAAAGTGCATTTCCTCTCCATCGGATTTGTACACGTTTTTCTTCCACTTATACACTTAGGCACTTTCGTACATCTGATCGACTTCAGACTTATTACACACATAAACCAACACCTGCAAATGGTCTCCAAAGATTTTTGTCACGATGGTGTAATCAGGTGTATGTCACATTAAACGTGCATTTTTCAAAGCCCAATATTTTCTGAAGTACAAGTCCGATTTGGTTGAATTATTAGTTGGTATATATACAGGTACGTTAATGATGTTAATTTAAGTGACTTCATGATGACGTTATCACGTGTCATGTGACCTCACATTAAAGGGGCATCTTGCTGAGGCCTATATCTAGAGAACAAAAGGTCCGATTCAGTCATAGTCGGTGTTATAAGTGTAAATGTATA